AGGATAGAGATATGGGTATAGGTGTGTCTAGACATAAACTTGCATTAAGTATTAGATAAATACGAGAGATGACTTGATATATGGCTGTCATTTGTTTCACAAATCCAAATTTTTCATAACATAAAATATGGTTTTTGTGTTCATAGAGAAAAACTAATTTTGAATATGCTATACTTTGCCTACTGAAGTTCAGTTCGATTGTCTAATGTTACTCTCTTTATTTTAATAATTATTACATCATATCTTCATTCATACAACATTGAACAATCAGTTGAATCATTCAATATTTTAATAATAATGATCGTTAATTCTAAAGATATGCTAAATCGGACAAGCATGCTTATAAACAACAATAGATGGTCGTATATTGGTGTATTACATGATTCAGTATTACGATCATATTTCTTCATATCATATACGGAGAAATACGGCTGTAACGCTGAGTTATGTGAAACTGGGTGTGGATGTGAGTGTGGACGTGGTTGAAGAGGAGGGTAAACGCTACACCCACACTCACCTACGTCTACATTGACACACCCTCACATCCACACCCACACCCTTCGACGGGGATGCTATTCATTTTATTATTCAACATATTTTAAATCTCAACGAACAATTTTATCTTTTGGAACTATTTTATTAATTTGTCTATTCATTATATTGAAAAAGAAAAATAATTGTTGGAGTAAGGAGTATTTTTATTAATAAAATAAAATTTATATAAATTTTTATTTAGATGATTATTATCGTTCTCGTTTATTTTGTTTTATATTAACAAGTCAATCCAATTTAGAAAATCGTTCACGTGCTATTTATGAAACATGGGGTCATCGATGTGGTCGATTTGTATTTATTACACGATTAAATTCATCAACATCTTATACTATTTATGATAATCAATATAAATATTTAAAAGAAGATCAATTACCAATTCAATATATTCCAACTTTACCAAATATCAGATCAACGCTTTTATTTTTAAATAAATATTATCCAAATTATGATTGGTATCTTAAAGCAGATGATGATACCTATATTATTGTAGAAAATCTTCTTAGATTTTTAGTTAGTACAATTAAGTAAGAAAGATAAATTTTTCTTTCATATAAAATAAGAACTTTTTCTAAATTAGACGACGTCCAAAACCTGTTTTATATGGTTATAGATTTCGTGAAGATTATTATGTAAGTGGTGGTGGTGGATATGTATTAACACGTAAAGGACTTAATCTATTTGGTTCATATATAAATAATGATTCCAGATATTTTGAATGTAAATCTCCAATGGAAGATATAATGGTTGGATCATGTTTTAAAAGAATTTTTGAAATAGCACCAAAAGATGAAACAAAAGATTTAATAACTGTTGGTGAAACAATTGATGATGAAGGAAGAGAAAGATTTCATCCACAACCATTTCGTGTACATTTTAATGGACCCTTAAATAAAATTGCAAGATATTGGATTTATGATAAAGCATTTCATCATAATTTATTTGTAAGTTTTTTATTTTTATTTATTATTTAATATTTATTTTTGATTAAAATAGGGTTATGAATCAATAAGTGAAACAACAATTAGTTTTCATTATACTCAACCTGAAGATATGTATCAAATGGATTCATTACTTTATCATATTCGACAGTTTGATAAAGAAGTTTGTCTTTCACATTCATAATAAATAGATGGTTGGTGACGATAAATGAATTATTCTTTCATTAACCCTTCTCTCCTTCAGGAAAGTTCTTTTCTTAAATTTACATAAGTCATATTTTATTTTTTCTAATCTTTTTGATAAATATTTGAATTATATCTTTTTTCAAAAACCAAAAAATTTCTTTTTCTGTCTTTTTTAAGTTTTATTCTAATAATATATCACAATAATCAACAGATTTTTGCATGAGGAAAATAGTCTTTTAATTTTGAAAGATTTATTGTGTAGCCAAGCACTACAAGACGACTGATTTTGGAACAATTAATACGTGTTGCATCTCTTGTAAAATTGTCCGTTACTTTTTTTTTAAACGACTATAAGATACACGAAGGTGAACATTACTTAATAAACATATCTTTGTATTGTTTAAAAATTCTTCAATATAATCTTCATGAGTTCTAGCTAGATCAATTTGAATAAGATGAGAACATCTAATTATTGGCCATTGAAGATGGTTATTTTGTTGCGGTTCATGATTCTCTAAAGTTAATTTTTTAATAGATGGGAATGATTGAGCAATTAGAAGCAAAAAATCATGTTCAAATGGACGTTCATCAAGTAATGATATTTCACGAACACATTTGAATAATCCACCAGGAAAATTATTTCTTATATTATGATAAAATATCCATGTATACGGATATGAATAAATATGACAATAAAAATAGTCTGAGTTAAAATAATAAACAGATGAAATAATTTGACTATTTTGAAAATTTCGAAATGTATGTTGAATATCATCGTTTGATGGTAAATTAATCGGTTGATCCGCAAGATGAGGACAAATAATTGAACAAATATTAAATGTGAATTCGTTTAATCGTGGCATATGATTAATAATATTCTTTTCCAAATCCTCACCATCAATAATTGGTTCACATATATTAACAAAATACAAACTAAGTTTTTCTAAATTTGTCATTCTTTGGAAAAGTGGTACCAATATATAATCATACATGTCTATTTCATCTTCATGGATTAGCGAAAAGCATTTTAAATTGAGCAGCTTCTTCTAAGTACACGAAAGAAAAAGTAATTAATATTCAAAAAGATTATTTATTCATTGAAAAAGAGATTAATATGAGTAGCTTACATCATTGCCAACTATTTCCTCTCCATGAACACCACGAGGCCGAATCGTAACATAAAACGTATGCAACTGATTAAGCTGACCATCAAGTAAACAAAGACAATCGTCGATAGTTTTTACTACAACATGTAATTCTAATAAATTTGAAGAGAAATTAGTTGAAGTTGGCCTATAAAATGCTAATTGTTCATAAATAGAAGATGAACTGAAATTTAAATATCGTAAATTCTTGAAATGATTACAGATGTTAATAAATAGAAATATATTTCTATCCTGTACTGCATATCCAGATGCACCTGGTATTGGTTTATGTGGTTTCAACTGAATAAAAAGTGATGAGATTTGATTTTGAAATCGATGAATTAAATAACTTTCCTCTAAACAAAAATTGAAAATATTCTATACTCTTTTTTATTTATCAATAAAAATCAATTGTTCAATGATCATAAATTAAATTCGTTAATAGATTGTAATATATTGTCCATACTATGTTTTATTATCTTATCTTCTATTTCATAGTCTAGATTTTCGATTTTGAGAACGAAAGAATTTTAATTGAAGATATTCCAAAACAATATCTGTTTTCTTTTAATTGATGTCTTTATATTTTGAATTTTTATCAAATTCATATTCATCAATTATGAAACTATGCGTGTAAAAATCAAATGTTGATTATATAAAATATATTTTCAAATAAATTTGCCTTATATAATTAATCATTGAAAGAGTATAGAAGAAAAATATCTTACCATAAAAGACTTCATACCCTGTTTCTGCTACAAAACCATATAAACCAAGTGTATGTAAATTAGGATAATTTGTTGCAAGAAGAATACGTTCCATAAATGATGATTCAATATTAAGTCGTTCAATTTTATCATTGATTCTAGGTAAAATTTCAAGACAAAATCGATCAAGTATTATATCGGTGAATTCATATGATGAACTATGAATAGGTTTTATTAATGTTAAATTTCTTGTAAAAATTCTATCATTTAGAATTGTATCAAGTCGCGTATTAAGACCTAAGAAAGAATAAAGTACATCACAATTGTACAAGTTTTGGAAAATAATCAGAAGAATTTCATCTGGTAAATCCTCCAGTTGAACACATGAACGTTCCATGTTTATACTTGTCACTGAAGGTTTTTTTGCTTTTCTTATGAATATATATGTCAGCGTCCAAACTAAGATTACGTCCAATCTCAGATTGGCCTAGGCGAATGCTGGATCTGAGATTGGACGCGTCCAATCTCGGATTGACGTAATTCTATACACTAAAGTATTAATTACTCTTTAGATAGATGTTGGAATCGAACTATTTTTTGAAGTTATGTTGGTACGATGCTGTTTTAAGTATTACAAGCATTTAGGAAGAAGCTAAATTTAGACTCAAGAATTTAATAAAGGTTTTTCACGAAAGTTGGTTTTTTCGAGAAATTTATTCATAGCTCCTAAAATTTTACTCAAATCTGTCAAACGACAATTGTGCCAAATAAACTGACATTGTGGGAACATCACTCAAAAAAACAATTCGAATTGAACGTATATCTAAAGAATAATTAATATTTTAGTGAATATAATTACGTCAATCTTAGATTGGACGCGTCCAATCTCGGATCCGACATTCGCCTAGGCCAATCTGAGATTGGACGTAATCTCAGTTTGGACGCTGACATATACATCTATACTCATGTGTTCAAGCTGACCGATGTCGTCAATGAAAACAATGAGCATATGTTTGTATAGGCAAAATTGACCATCAATAAATGAATAACCGATCGAATATTTTTTTTCTTCTTTTTATTCAACATTTAGGGATCAACACACACTGGAAAATGAATGAAATGAATTTTTTTTCAAGTCACTAACGTCTACACACTAAGCAGCTCAGTCATCAATGAGAGCGGAAAACACCGTCTTTCTGTCTACTACTGACAAAATGCTTGTGAAAAAGTTGATATTTATTTCGATGTCCCTATAAAATCATAGGTGTCATATTTTAGGTATATATGGTTTGATGAAAAAAGTGTATATACATGAGACGATACGTCTGTCTTCCTATTGGAAAAAAGTGTTAGACGTGATTGGTACATTAACATTAATTCATTTGGAAAAGATGACTTAAATCTGTTTTAATTTTCTGAGTCGAACTTTTTCTTTCATGCACATGCAATGCTTGAAAATCTTGAGCAAAAAAGTCATGTACGGTGAACATATCTTGAGCAAAAAAGTCATGTACGGTGAACATATCTTGAGGTAAGACATGACACATTTTGGAAAGGTAAAGTGCTTGCTTATCGTATTCATGCACGAGTAATCTTTTTCAAACGTTTGTATTTCTTGCTGAAGCAGATGTAACATGTTTGTGCAATGGAAATATGTTTTTTCCATGTTTCAGTCATTCATTGTGTGTACTATGTCGCAGGGTAAAAGTAATACTCCAGTAAAAATAAATGTGTAAAATTTCCAACAGAAGGTCTAAGAGGTTTTATTCTTTTGGGAATTTTCATACCTGATCAGAGTCTATGCTATACATAAAGTTCGAACTCAAAAACGATTGAGTAGTTGAAAGCGTTATTTTCTAAGTATGTTTCACATATTTCTACCGTTGTACTCGAAGATGATAAATAGACATGATCCACATAGTAAATGTCTGTAACTTTGAATATATGAATATACAATATCCTAATTCTGTATGTCAATAAAATCGAAGAAAATATTCATTTGAACAAGGAAAAAACTTTTGCTGGGCACTAAACACCCGCTCGTAAGATATTTGAATAAAACATTTATTTTCGAGAGGTCTCTATCAAAATATTTATCTGTTTGATTGATTATTTAAATGACAACTAATACCTATCGTGTCATGTGTTGACATGTATTGGGTATTGGTTCGTTTTGATTGATTCATTAATAAATGCGAAAATTATATTCAGTTGGATCAATTCCTTATCGTCAACAAGGAATAAAACTCAACAAATTTCTAATGGCTTTTAAATAAATCTTTTGTTATTTTTGATATTTTTTGTAAATTCAAAAAGGAAAAATTTTGATGAAGAAGAAGAGATGTCAATTGAAGAACAAATTAATTAAAAGAGTAAAGAGATACTCAATCATTATTGAATAAGCATTAATGAACAAAAAAAAACCATCATTAATGAAACACAAATTTTCCTTAAAGATGCCAAAGAGAAAATCGACTTTTTAAAAATGAAAATTCACAAATTAAAGAATCGTACAAATCATCGTTTATTTGATATTCAACGTTTTTTAAATGTTTTTAGTTTCAAATAATACGGATTTATCGATAAACCAATTTGATCTAATTGAAGAAAAAATTCAATCACTCAACAAACAACTTTAAATGGAATTTAAAGTATATTCATTTCACACCTTTTTTTAAATGCATTTCATAAGCAGTAAAATCGATAGGTGAAAGCAGACGCAGAAACTCGTTTAACAACATATAATGGACAAAGAACATAAAAAATATATGACGAAGTTCAAATTTTATTATAAGATGCAAAAATGAAAATTGGATTTGTTAAATTAAAAATAAAATGTCTTCAATATGATTTTAATTTAATTAAAGAAAATAAAATTTTTGAAAATTCATCAGAACAAACAATTGAAGAATTAGAACATTATTTATCGATGAAAAAATGTGCAGAATATGCTATTCAACTTCTTAAACAAAATGGAGCAAAAAAAAGGAACTTTTATCTCAAGCTTATGGAGATTTATTTCAATCTAAACAAAGAATTGCATTACTTGAAGAAACAAAGAAAAGAAAATATCTAAAATATTCTATTAACAAAGCAAATTCAATTACTGGAATATTTCAAGTTAGATTATATTATTTTATTAATTTATCTTGTATTTCATCATTATTATTTATATAAAAGACCTCTAGCTTGTCAAGACTTACTTCAACCATCTCTTCTTATAACTCTTACTAAACGTGATAGTTGTAGTACAACTTCCAAAGCTTTATTTAGAACATTACATGTAAAAAATAATTTATCAAGTATACAATATTTCGTTTTCCAATAAGATTCATCAGAATTATAGATAAACTCAATTAATAATTGATAGATATTTTGAGATTCATTGGAAATTAAAGTTATATTTGATTACCATATAATAAACAGATTGAATTTATATAAATTTATCTCTCAAAGTTTAGTTGAAATTATTTTTGGGAAAGTATTAGACATGAATGAATAATGAATTGTTTTTAGATTAAATTTTGTTGAAAATTTATTTAGATAAAATTAATGTAATATTAGGTATTGAGAATCTTCAGAAAGCTGAAACTGGTTTTAAAATCTGTAGTCGACAACCTTGGAATCAACATTTTGCAATTGAATTTGATCGAGTATGTTCTATTTTTATTGAAATAAACATATATTGGCACAATTATCGTTCAATGTATGTAATACGTTTTATTCGGTTCAAGATTTTGTTAATCAAAATGATGAAATAAGTAGAATGATTATTCATTTATAACTATAAGGACTTCTTTTTGTTAATCTGAGTTTTTTTTTCTTTTCTTTTATTCAATAATAAAATTTCTAAATGCATTAATTAAAGCGGCACGAAAATTAAAATGACAAGAGAAATTATTTTCAAAGTGAAAAGGTCTATTACCAATAGTGGCGTAGCCACCGGGGGGGGGGGGGGGGGGGGGGGGGGGGGGGAAGGGCACGAGGGTGCAATGCCCCCCTGTAAATTTTTCGAATGGAAACGAACGGACTCTTCTTCGTTTTCATTATAAGATGTTATGGTGGTGGTCCTAAAGGAAATGTACCTTCAGGCAACAGAGAAAATAGAAATTTCAGTTTTTGACAACCATCGCGAGCGTAGCCGCCTTGGGCGGCAAAAATGCTGAGACTACCGATCCGTAGAATCAGTTTTTAGTAGTTTTATGGGGCTGAGGCAAGCTTAAAACCTTTGTCCCTTGAAAATGGTCATTTTTCAATAAAAAACTGTAATTTCAACTGCAGAAAACTTGCTATTTATTATGAGTAGTCGATTAACAACTTCATCATCTTTGCACAATGAATATCTTTGGTATTTCTGAATTTTCCAAAGTTTTCGGTATTTTTTAAACGCATTACTTTTTTTTATAAAAGTGAGATCGATCGATAATAAGTTTGACTATTTCTAACTGAGAAACTTCTCTGAACTGGTTACCAAGGCTTATTTTCTTGCTGAAAGGCTCAATTTCTGGCAAATCATTGCCACTTTGGCCGCTTTTAGCGGCACAGGTATTGAGAAATTTTGTAAGCTTTATGTGACCATTTTCCTTTCCGAAACTCAGACACGCAGAAATTTCGAAAAAGCACTAGTCTTAAGGATGAATAGAACAAACTATTCATCTTTCATTGTCTAGGGTGGGGGTGTGGG